TTTTACAAAAGGTTATAAAGGCTTGGTCAACTAGGTCAATTTGATAAATGCCCCATCCCCTCACTTGGCACCGGAACCCCCACTCATTCAGTGGCGGCGCTGCGGTGCATCACTACAGGAGCATCACTGCGTGCAACGAGATGACACTATTGTTGCTAAAGCTGCGCAACGTCGCCTCAAAGTTCTGGCTGCGTACAACAATGCCTCGCTGCGGACAACTTGAGCAGCAAAAGCGTCGCCTCGATTTTTTTTGGAGTTTTTTTTATTCAATCTGTTGTGGGTGATTTTTTGGTTGGTGATTTTTTGACTAATTCTATGGTGGGCGGCTTGTTGGTTGCTGCAGTGGTGGTGGTGGTGTGCAATTCTAATTTTTCCCCAAATTTTTTTAGGTGACCTATAGTTGGCAATGGTGTAGTGGTTGTCCGCGACGGTGGTGGTTGTGGTGGGTGGTTTGTGTGTGAGATGGCGTGGGTGACACGATCTGTAGCTGTTTTGCATTGTTTTTGTGGTGGGCTTGTTACTATGATGATGGTTTTACGTTGCTATGGTGTATGGTGGTGTTGTGGTTGCTATAGTAGTAGTTTTGTGCAGTCTAGCGGTGACGGCAATGGCGTGGTCCTAGGTGGGGTGGGGTGGCATTGGGTGTTTGTGACCAATTATTTGATTGATTGTGACCAATAATCGGTTAATTTATGAGAATTAAATAATATGTGGCTTAAAAATTGTGATTGTGACTCATAATTCATTAAGTTGTGATCGATAAATGAATTGTAACAAATTCATTTGATAATTTGCAATGAATAAATGAGTTTTGACCAATAAAAGTTTTGATTTGTGATCGATGAATAATTTGTAACCTGTAAAATTTGTGATTTGTGATCAATAAATAATATCTGACTTATAAAATTATTGATTTGTGATCGTGAAATAATTTGTGACATATAAATTTTTTTATTGTGACAGGGAAAAATAATTTGTGACCAATTAATTTATATTTAAGGAAATTACACATACACATAGAATTAGATTTCCAATTAAAAAAATAAGATAACAATTTAACATTTCAAAAATCAGGTTTTAATTAATAATTTAAAAACATTTTTTTATTTTTATATAATTATATCTAATGAAACCCTAATATAATATGAAGAAACCGTCTCTCACCCCATTTCTATCCTCTCTCACCGTCTCTACGCTCTCTCCACCCATCGCCCGACGTCATCTCCACCCATCTATTTCCACCATCTCTCACTGTCTCGTCGTCTCTACTCTCTCCACCCCTCTCTATCTTTCTACCTACCGATCAACACAACCCTAAAGCAAGGCCCTCCACCACCACGAACCAAGGGCAAGCCTTACCCCTGAACGATCGCCGCCCAACCGCACATCTCCTCCCCGCGCGAGAGCTCCCTCCAGATCTCACATCTCTCACAGATCTTGGATGTGCGTGCGACGTGTGGCTATGGTGATTGGGTTTTTTTTTGTGCTGTGGTCAGATCTGCACCACCGTGATCCGGTATGGATCGACGTCGGCCTCGTGAATTTGAAGTAGGCAGCGGGACCGTGAATGTGTGACGCTCATGACGCCACTGCAGATCTGATTTTTCCTTTTTTATTTTTTTTAGTTTCGATTTTGATTTTGATTGGATGGGTATGGTGATTTTAATGGTTGATGTGTGTCAGTGGTTGTTGTGGTGGTTTTTCAGTCTAAGGTTGGGTGAATGGTTGATGTTTGTTGTTGGCTATGGCAGATCTAGCGGCGATTTTGGTGGATTTGGCAGCAATTTTGTTGTTGTTCCGTGTGTTGGTGTAGTTGGGGGGTTTTGAATTGTCGAAATCGCCCATTTTGTTGTGAGATCGTGGTTTTTGTCATCGTTGGAGTGGTAGTGGCGGCCGTGGTTCCGTGTTTGAGTGGTGGCGGTGGTTGTGTGTTCTGCGTGTAATTTGTGACTTAGTGGTGGT